TTATCTGACCCTTTCCTGGGGAAAAAATTATACACTGGAGAACTGGCACCTCTCATTTTGCCCTTGCTTATATTGTGGCAAGAAGTGAATAAAGACTTGATTGTTACTTTTAGTTTGGCTTGTCCTTATTAACTACATCAACACCTGGCAGCTCACCATGTTATATATTCTGGATATTAGACCCTTATCAAATATATAATTTGCACATATTTTCCCCTAATCTGTAAGTTATCTTCACTTTTTGGTAGTATCCTTTGGTGCACGAAAGTTTTTAATTTTGATTTTTTATGTATTATTATTTTTTACACTGAGCATGCTTTTAAGACTACCTAAGAATCTATTGCCAAACCTAAGGTTATGAAGGTTTATCCCGTGTTTTCTTCTGACATTTTTATAGTTTTAGGTCTTACACTTAGGCCTTTGATCCACTTTGACTTAATTTTTGTATACGACGTAAGGTAGGGCCAGTTTCATTCATGCATTCATCCATCCGTATATATGCATGTGGATATCAAGTTGTCCTAGTGCCATTATTGTTGAAGAGACCCGTCTTTCTCCATTGAATGGTCTTAGCATCCTTGATGAAAATCAGTTGACCATAAATGGGAGGGTTTATCTCTGAACTTTCGGTTCTGATCCATTGGATGTCTGTCTATCTGCTCATATTAAACTGTTTGCTAACAGTTGCTTTGTAGTGAGTTTTTGAAATTGACAAGTATAAGTCCTCTAACATTTTCCTTTTTCAATATTTTGCTATTTGGGATGCCTTGCAATTTTATCTGAATTTTAGGATCTGCTTTTCTGTTTTTATAAAAAAAGGTTGTTGGGATTTTGATAGAAATTGCATTGACACTGTATCACTTTGGGGAGTATTACTATCTTACTAAATATTACAGTCTATTAACATAGGCTGCCTTTTCTCTTGTTTAGATAGTCTTTAGTTTCTTTCAGCAACATTTTTTGTTTGTTTGTAGTGTACAAGTTTTATACTTCTTTGATTAAATTGATTTCCTGAGTATTTTGTTATTTTTGATGCTTACATAAGTGAAATTGTTTTATTTCCTTTTCTGACTGTTCATTGCTAATGTATAGAAATACAGTTGATTTTTTGTGTTGTTCTCTTTACAACTTTGCTGAATTAGTTTATTAGATCTAACAGTTATTTTGTGACTTCTTTAGGATCTACAAATAGAAATTATTCTGTTTCTTTGTTTCCAATTTGGATCTCTTATTTATTTTTCTTGTTAATTGCTCTGGCTAGAACTTCTAGTACAATGTTGAATAGTAGTGACAGAAGCCTTCCTTGTCTTGTTCTTGATCTGAGGAGGAAAGCATTCAGTCTTTTACCATTGATGTTAACTATTCTGCTTTTGTATTTATATTTTATGTATTACATTCTATTCCAGTTTTCTTTTATTTGAGATATACATTGCAAATGTATAGAAAAATTCAGAGTTGTAAAACAAGTATCCATTATAGACCTCATTCTTGGATTTTGGAGAAATTGCATCAAACACTGGAATTAAATCATGTAAATTCACTAATACCATGCCATTTTGACCAAATTGGTCATGGGGGATGAATCACAAAACCACGTGGAATTATTTTAAAATTGATTTGATACAATTTCCAGTTATTTTAACCTGAGATTTGGTCAAAGCAAATTTGATACCATTAATAGGAAAATCTAGAGAAATAGTGGCTCATGTATTGCAGAACTAGAAGCAACCTCCAGTTTTGAATTCTCAAAAGGATCAGGAATTGGAATAATTTCACTTGGAAAAAAGAAATAGGGACATAAAATATTTGTACTCAGAGGAAAAAGGGAAAGATACTTTTTTGTTTTGTTTTAATTCAGGCAGACTCAGGTCAAATGGATGGTTTTTATAGGCCCAGTATAAAGGAAGAACTATCTAGCAATGAACTGCCTCTCACAGTAGTGAATGTCCTATCACCAGGAAGGAAAAGCTGAGGTGAGATGACTCACTGGAGATGCTGCAGAATGACAAGCAGTGGTGTCAAGGTGCCCCCACAGCTAATATCCTGTCATTCTACAGATTAACCATGAGGAAAAGAAACTTAAGAATGCCTATTGTCATGATCAAATAAAAAGTATAGGCCAAGCAGAGACTATGAAAAACAGCCAATACTTTTCTCAGCCAGTGATGACAGAACTTGCTATAGGAAGTAAAATCTGTAGGTAATAATTGTCAGAATATTGACTCACATGAATTGAGAAATTAAATGCCACTAGGAGGAAAAGAGAAGATAGAACTGCTCACTTTTTAATTACAGGGGTCAAGGGGAAGAAAAAGATAAAGAAATAGATTCAAAAGTAGTTACTGAAGGATTTTTTTTTTACATGTGGAATAAATAAGGACAGGAATAGGGGGCTACCATTTGAGTTTGTTTTGTTTTTAAGTTTATAGAAAACATCTATCTGCTGTTTTGAATCTCTTAAGGGTGTTTCAAAATTAATTTTTGAGTAGTTGTGAAGAATTGGATGTACCATAGCACGAATTTTAAGCTTTAAATAGAGTAAATGAGGTTAGTGTTACACAAAGCCGAAAGTCAGATTTAAAATTTTGTTTCAGAGATCGGGTCATACTTTGTTGCCTAGGCTGCTCTCAAACTCCTGGCCTTAAATGATCCTCCTGCCTCAGCCTTCTGAGTTGCTGATTACAGGTGTGAGCCACCCAAAAGTCAGGTTTTAATCAGTCTCAGAGAAACTACACAATGTCAGGAAGTGAGATTATTCCAAATATGGTACATTTGCTTTATGATTGACTTTGGTGTGGACCTGTGTCCTGAGTTCTGATCTTCCCCTGAATTATTCTTCCTTTGTACCCCCCATCAAGGGATTTGTCATGTGGGAGAGGCAGTGGGAGAGGTAGCTTGTAGTTCTTTCCAGTACCATGGATATGGCAGACCTATCTCAGAAGCCAACGAGGTAATGACAGTCTAACTGTTATAATAAAAATGACTGCCAGTTTTGAATACCTAAAATGCCAGATGCTATACTAGATGTTGGGTGCTCTTTGAACTTAAGTAAACCATCTCCCAGTAGATTAAAATTTATGAGATTGAATTCTTTGATACTAGATAATAAATTGATTTGAATTCTAGATGCTAGACAATGGATTGGTGTCCTACAGTTTGGGATCCCACAATTTGTAGACCCATGTCAGCTTTTGAGAGCCTGGCTGCCTTTGCCTTAAGTAAAATTGTGAAGTAGATATGGCACATATTAGGCATTACTTTCTGCTTCCCCACCCTTGGTTTAGAGATGCTGACATTGATTTGGTAACTGCTAGGTAACTTGTCTCAGCAGTCTTTTTTAAGAATTGAAACTCTGTCAACTTCCTTACCCCTCTCAATTAATTATTCCTTTCAGGAGGTACATCCTCTTAATATCCTCCAGTCCACCTGTTCTTTACCTCTCAAGCCAAATAAGAGAAAAATAAAAATTCTTAATACAATGGACTTACACTGGGATTTGAAATATATTCTTTGATATTTGAGGTGAAATACTATCAGTTACGATTTATTAGCACAAACAAAACAACATAGAAAGATAAAAGCACTTAGTTGCACAAATTCTTACATAGCCAACATGAAGACGACCTTGACGTGATTCCTAGAATTCAGGAATAAGGGCTTCCGTGGTGGACCTGCTGCCAGCAGGCAAAGCTGGATACTTAAGCATAACCTTTCATATAATGGGCTGGGTTGAACAATGTAGTTCTACCTTACTCTCTGAAGGACCTCTCATAGCAGGAAATGGGCTTAGGTTAAGAGGTTTTAATCCAAGGAATAAGCTGCACAGTTGGAATATAATTATTTATATATCCAAAGGAAATGAAATCAGTGTGTCAAAGAGATGCACTCCCATGTTCATTGCAGCACTATTCATAATAGCCAAGATATGGAATCAACCTAAATGTCCATCAGTCAGCAAATGGATAAAGAGAATGTGGATGGTATATACGGTGGAATACTATTCACTCTTAAAAGAAGGAAATCCTGTCATCTGGAACAACATGGATGAACCTAAAAGACATCATTTTAAGTTAAATAAACCAGGCACAGAAAGACAAATACCCACATGTTCTCACTGATATGTGGAATCTAAAAGAGTATGAGTAGAGAATAAAATAGTGGTTACTAGGGGCTAGGAGGATAGGGGACTTTGGGAAGATGGTGGTGAAAGGACAAAATTTTAGTTAGATAGGAGAAATAAGTTCAGAGATCTGTTGTACAACATGGCAACTTTAGTTAATGACAATGTATTGTATTTTGAAAGTCACTAAGAAAGTAGAGTTTGGCTAGGTGCACTGGCTCACGCCTGTAATCCTAACATTTTTGAAGGCCAACGTGGGAGAACTGCTTGAGCACAGGAATCAGACCAGCCAGGGCAACATAGTGAGATCCTGTCTCTATCAAAAAAAAAAAAAAATAGGTGTGGTGGTGTATACCAGTGGTCCCAGCTACTTGGGAGGCTAAGGTTAGAGGATCACTTGAGCCTAGGAGGCTGAATAGTGAGCTGTGATTGAACTACTGTACTCTAGCCTGGGCAACAGCATCTTTAAAAAATAATAATTAAAGCTGGATGTGGTGTCATATACCTGTAATCCTAGCACTTTGGGAGGCCATGGTGAGAGGATCACTTGAACCCAGGAGTTCGAGACCAGTCTGGGCAAGATACTGAGACTCCATCTCTAAAAAAAAATTTGTTTTAAAATAGTAATTTTAAAAATGTAGATATGCATTATTCCACAAAATAACATATGCATTATTCCACAAAAATAAGTGTGTGGAATAATGCATATATTATTTAGCTTGATTGAGCCATTCCACAATATATGCATGGTTCAGAATATCATGTTATACATAAGAAATCTATATTTTTTGTCAGTTAAAAATGTAAAGTAAAATGAAAAAGAATTTTTATTTTTCTGACTAGCTGTCTTGTGGTGATTTAACATTTGTTTTTCTCCTAGAGAAAAATTAACCATTGGATGCCGCCAGTTGGTTGAGATGGAATATACCATGCAGCAGTGCAATGCATCTGTTTATATGGAAGCCAAAAACCGGGGATGGTGTGAAGACATGCTCAACTATAGGACATAAGTACTGATTCATAACTTTAAAGGACTTGCATTTGCCCTTAAGAATAACAGAGTACCTTTCAATCTGGTCACCCTTTTAGCCCGAACTTGAGAATTTTAAGAAATGTTTTGTGGGTACCAAAAGGTGATTGCCTATTACTGACAATCTCATTGAAGCTCTAAAAAGCCTATTGGGTCCATTATAAAATAAATTCCATGGACTCTGTTTTTCTGGAGTTCACAATGCCTCCCTACCTCTACTCTTGATAGTGAGCCAGTATCTCTAAGGAAAGGAGAGCCATATATTCAGTCATCCTAAGGCAGGAGCCACTGTGGATCTGAGGAAGACCCAGGGGACAGTATTAGCATTTCTCTCAACCCTAGGTATGGGCATGTGACCAGAGATACTGCCAAAACCTAAGAAATCATTAGAACATGGTGATCATGCTCACCATATTCCGCAAATGAAATCTTATTGTGAGCTGTTTCTATGATCAAACTGTCATCCATGTTGAGTTGGTGAAAATAATACCCTCCTTCACCTCACTCAAGGTAATGAAAGTAGAAATTGGACTTAAGCTCCTACTTCCTTATACAGCCTCTTTCCTTCTGCGGGCTTGTCCCTTTTCAGTGCATTTCTAGTGTGGAAGCGCAGGGAGACCTCTCTGCTGAGTTTCTCCTTAAATGTGAAGCATAATGGATTTATATAACAGAATTCGGTGGCAGTAACTGATATTTGCCCCTAGCTAAAACCAACTGTTTAGTTGACTTTTTAGTTATACAGTAAGTTGGAAATCCTTGTTTACTGGAATGTATTATGCTTTTGTTAACACATTAGATTAAATCCAATTTGGTATTCTATTATAAATGCTTATTTTTAAGACAATAAATAACTTATTTTTGTTAAGATTTGACTTTTAATTTTACTTCCAAGTTGTTTCTGATATGTATATGAGGTATGATTATAAAAGTGACTATCTCCAATAAAAGAGTGTTCAGGATATTCACTAGTTGCTGTAGGACCTGTTAAGCTTTGGGTTTGCCAGATTAGGAAACCACACCACCAGCTGCACAGATGGGGCTCACAGTGCCCTCAGAGATAGGAGCTTCCGGGCGAATGGAGAAGCTTTAAGAGGGCATCTCTGCCTCTTTCCTTTTCTTTCCCGAGAAGCCAAATGTACATTCATCTGTTTTCTGCCCACCCCAATGAAAATAACTTTTTTCAGATCTTTATCCCTCAAGTTCTAGTTGTTGTTGTTGGTTTTTTTTTCCTTGCTCTGGTTTATTACCTTCTCCTCTTTTTTTGTATCGCTTTAATGTCGGTTAATCCTTTTCATTAAATTTCTGTTCAGTCCTATCACATATTTACCCTTACGTGTATTTCAGTCTCTATTTAAAAACTTTTTCAGTGTTACTGAGATGTGAAGATGTGCTTTTTTAACTTTCTAGTCGTTATTTAAAACATTGTTTAAAAATTTTGTTTTAGCCTTTATTTCTCCCATTTGAAATGTTAGGGCTTGCTTTGCTTTGTTTTGTTTTCCTGCTCCCTTTTTTGTTGCTTTTTGTGTGTGTGATCTTAAACTTTATTACTTTTCTATTTGTTGTCCTAATCATGTAATGCAGGGGTTGGGCTTCCTTTACATTAGTGTTTTGCAACTTTTTTTTTTTTTTTTTTTTTTTAATTTTTGAGATGGAGCCTCGGTCTGTCACCCGGGCTGGAGTGCAGTGGCACAATCTCAGCTCACTGCCACCTCTACCTCCCGGGTTCAAGCAATTCTCCTGCCTCAGTCTCCTGAGTAGCTGGGACCACAGGCGCATGCCACCACACCTGGCCAATTTTTTAATTTTAGTAGAGACAGGGTTTCACCACATTAGCCACGATGGTCTCAGTCTCCTGACCTTGTGAACCACCCATCTTGGCCTCCCAAAGTGCTGGGATTGCTGGAATTACAAGCATGAATCTTTTTTTTTTTTTTTTTTTTTGAGGCTGAGTCTCACTCTGTCACCCAGGCTGGAATGTAGTGGCTTGATCTCAGCTCACTGTAACCTCCACCTCTTGGGTTCAAGCGATTCTTCTACTTCAGTTTCCCAAGTAGGTGGGATTACAGGTGTGCGCCACTGTGACTGGCTAATTGTTTTTTGTATTTTTAGTAGGCATGGGCTCTCACTGTGTTGGCCAAGCTGTTCTTGAACTCCTGACCTCAACTGATCCATCTGCCTTGGCCTCCCAAAGTGCTGGGATTACAGGCAGGAGCCACCACACCTGGCCTTTGCAACTCACTTTTACAAAAAATAGTTCATTTCTTCCCTGGGAAGACCAGGAAATATCCCCTGGTTTGGAGACGCTCCAGCTTTCTTCATATTCTGGTCCAAGGAAAAGCTGGCTAAAGAATTGAGGCCTGAGTTTGGTACAGTGGCTCACGCCTGTAATCCCAGCACTTTGGGAGGCTGAGGTGGGCGGATCATCTGAGCTCAGGAGTTCAAGACCAGCCGCCTGGCCAACATGGTGAAACCCCATCTCTACTAAAAATACAAAAAATTAGCTGGGTGTGATGGCAGGCACCTATAATCCCAAATATTAGGGAGGCCAAGGCAGGAGAATCACTAGAACCTGGGAGGTAGAGGTTGCAGTGAGCCAAGATCGTGCCATTGCACTCCAGCCTGGGCAACAAGAGCAAAACTTCATCTGAAAAAAAAGAAATCTGTTGTGTTCCCACAGGGTCCTCTTGTTAAAACCTGCAATGGTCAATTGTGACTGTATAGATTAGAACTTCACAAGATGGGTTAATCCCACTTTCACATTGTGGATCTTTGACCGTCACATGAAAGATCAGGTAACACAAGACAGAGCTGAAGCTCTATTTCCTTGATACTTTGAACATCATTTTAAGGGAGAACAAAAGTCCTTTTATTGTCAATCCAGGTTTAGATGGCATCTTGGTCAGCTTTCAGAGTCTAGGTCGAATTGTTCATATTTTTGACTTTTTGCCTCCTTAGCTGGTATGATGGGTTGGGATGAATTTACCTCTTTCCTCAAAGCTTTGGTGGTTACTGCATCCAGTCTCTCAGGATGTGATGCTACACATGGTCCGTTTCTGACTTTGAGATTGGACAGGCAGTCACACTCCTATTTATTGGTTATCTTGCTAATAAAACCTACTCCAGTGAATAGAACGGAGCTCCGGGAAGGCAGGAACTACGCTGTGTCTAGTGTCTCATATTGTGGTCAGTTAATATTTTCAACAAATAGAAGAAAAGCAGGCTCACCTACTTAAAAAGAAATACTTTACCTTTGTCTACTAAAGTTTGACTTGAAAGCTTTTAAGTTTGTCGGGTCTGTCAGGTGAAAAGCCACTCAGTAAAGTCAAACAGATAACACCTCTCTTAGATCTTGGAATAGGCCCCACAGAAATGGATTCTTCTGGAGCCAGAGTACCTCAAGGTGTTGGCTTTCCTGAGGGTTTTAGTATTATATATACTAAATATCCATCTCTATATTCATGGAATTCTTTAATATCTTTGGCTGTTGTTAAAAGCAAGAGTTGGCCACCTTGGGTGTTTGTAGACTAGTTTTGGCCCACAACAGGAATCCTTTTTAATTCTGATCTAGCTTGGTTTATGAACTAGGTGTGGTTTGTCTCAAATTGATACTTGATATTGAAAACATTGAGGACAGATTGTTGAGCAGAATTACTAGTTATAAACCTGGAAGGTGAGGTGGTTGACACCTGAATCTGAGCTACTAGCTTGGTTTGGTCTTCCTGAAGCACAAACCATTTTCAACATCCTGTTCTTTATGACTTCTGATTTTCTTGTCTTTGCAACTCCGTTGTAGACTAATGGTGGTGGGCTAGACTATAGTAGCTCATACAGACCCCTGCAAGGTCACTGGAAATGGTTTCCTGGTGCAATTTCTAATGAGGTAAATATGGACATGTTCTAGTTCTTCTAAGCTTGATATTTTAAAGGTTTGGTACCACTTTGGTTAAGCTAGAAAAACAAAACTTTTTCTTCATAAGAGTAGAGTTCTGTCAAACATGTCACAATATTAAGGTCACACCACCTCTAAAAATCCCCTCGTCTCTTTGTAGTTAACTCCCATCTCCATCTCAGGAGGCCATTGATGTGTTTGCCATTCCTATAGTTTTTCCTATTCCTGAATGCTATATAAAAGGAAACTGTGTTTTAAGAGACAGGATCTTGCTATTTTGAACAAGGTCGAGTGCAGTGGCTGTTTACAGACATGATGAATGATAGCACACTACAGCCTTGAACTCCTGGGCTCAGGCAATCCTCCTACCTCAGCCTCCTGAGTAGCTGGGACTACAAGTGCATGACACCATGCCCACCTAAAAGGAGGCTTTTGAGTCTGGCTTTTCTTTTAGCATGATGCTTGAGATTTATCCTTATTGTTTATCAGTAGTTCATTCTTTTATTCCCAATAAGTATTACATTGCCATGGATGTACAAATTTATTCATTTACCATGTGGAAGGCTACATTGAATTCCGTTTTTGGTGATTATGAATAAAGCTGCTGTATTCACATACAGGTATGTGTGAATATTTTCCTTCACTTGGGTAAATACCTATGAATGGGATTACTTATCACAGCTTATTAGAAAATATATAGATTGTTTTTTAAACTGCCTGTGCACCTCTGTGGATCCTCCAGCAATGTATGAGTTCAAGTTGCTCTGCAATCTAAGCAGAATTTGGCATATTTAGTTTCAATAGGTATATGTCCTTTTGCTTTTAATTTACATTTTCCCAATGATTTATGATAGTATCTTTCTTTTTATGTTCTTACTGGCATCCACTTCTTTTGCAAAGTGTCTTCAAATATTTTACCCACTTAAAAATTGTTTTTATGGATATAACTCATCTTAGTACCTTGCTGGACATTTCAGTTCACGTCAGAAGTTTCATGACTCCAAGTTAGATGTTTCTGTGTGCCTTTTTTCTGGCTAAAATTACGTTACCCCCTTTGGTCATCCTGAGCAAATACATGGCCTCTACTCAGATATATGCCTGTTAAAGGCATTACACACAGATCCAGCATAACGGCCGAATTTTGCTTTGTTCAATCCCCAATAAGGTGTGGAGCTACTAATAGTAAGGTTCAGTATTTTATTGGCCAAGATTATTGGTGCTTGTAGGTTGAAGAACCCATGACATTCACATGAGTTTGTATGTTCTTGTTTATAAATTCTACTTGTTGTTCAGTGTCTTTAATACTCTTAAAAACCTTCCAGTTTTATTATGAAGGATATCTGCAATTCATACCAATTCTATTTTAACCTAGAGACACTTACTTAACTTAATGAAACTGCAGCTTGGCCTTACCAAAGATTTAAGGATTCGTATATCAGTGTTTTTCTTTCTTCCTTATACCTAATTAACCTTGTATCTTATGTCTCATTTGCTGACTCTTCAGATCTTTTTTTGGAACTTTTGGCTGCATGCAAATTACGACAGCAACTGAGTTTTCCATGAATCTTACCCTTCTGAAGGCAACTTGCAGTTACAGAAAGGTCCTATTGGGGCTCCTCCTTTGCCTACTTCAATTTTAAGAATTCTGAGGTCAGGAGAGGTAGTAAGTTACACAAATATGTACCTTGTAGATATGGATTAACGGTAACAAATGGCCATTGAGCACTTCCCCCCTGCTTTATGGAAACTTCTCATGTTCATGAAACAACTTCTAAAAAAAACATACTTTTTGGCCACCAAACTACCTCTTTGGCACCAAAGGTAATGCAGGAAAACTTTGACTCAAAGTATTCCCATATATTTGCAGTACACATGTCACTTATGAAATGAGAGGGGATCTCAAGGATTTTAGTGCTGAATCCTCAACTAAAATTTTATTTCCTTGTGCTGAATAGAACACATACAGATCCATATTAAAAACAGTCATCATCTGAGGCAAATTCAAATCTGTCAATAAAGTTTTAGTCCAGAACCAAACCAGTGATAGTAATTACAGAGTTACCAAGCAAA